TCTTAGCAACTGTTGCAATATCTTCCCCAATTTCAAGCAATCTTGAATTCGATGCATCTTTACCCTTATCTTTACTTTTATTTTGGCTCTTTACCGAATCTGTAGTCTTTTTTTTTTATTGAGCGGATGACTCGTCACTGAGACCTACAGTTTCTTGTTGAGTGCAATCAATGTCGTCAATTTCATGCAAACTATAGTGGCTTGACTCTTGATTAGGACGGGGAAGGGTAGAAGTTGGCCCCCAACTATGAATGTTTGTCGCAGTCGCGCCTTCAAACAACTGTGTGCAAAGGTCGGGGTACGGTAGTGGTGTGTGTCTCAAAGAATCCACATGTTTGTTTGACTATTTGGAAAAAATATTTTATTATTTAAACATGATAATCTATTTTTTATAAATTAACAAAATACCTTCGATTCTAGTTCCCATTCTTCTTCGGAAATATTGAAGGTGTTGGTTGTTGCATTGTACACATTGAAGGTTTTGTTTTTTAACTTCAAAAAAGCACCAAAATTTGACTTTAGGTAGTCATAGCAGTTCTTCATTTGTTTTTGGTCGACAATAAAGTTATGTTCAATTTTTAATGTTTCAGCTGCATTCCTCCAAGACAGTGCTTTCAAACTACTCCTTTCCCGTCCATTGACTGTAACTTCACGTAAACAAGCTTCTAGAAACGCTTTCTCTACACCTTCAACCTTCCAACTAATCCTATCCTTCTTTTCTTCCATTTCTTTGATCAATTCAAAACAAAACAAAAAAAACGTATGTTTTAGCAACTACTTAAGCATAATTGCAAATACACGTTTTCAACAACAATTTAAACAATACAAAGACACATTTTCAACAACTTCTTCTACAAAACAAATACACAATTCAACAAAACTAATGAATATTTCATGATATGTCAAGAACAAAACTAATGGATATCTTAAGAACAAAACTAATGGATATGTGAGCAACAACATTTCAGCATAATACCCAAACATAACAACATTAAACATAAATATATGAATAGAAAAAAATCAAACATAACATCAACAATAAACATCAAAATTGAGGATATAATCGATCATATAACATCAAATTTGGGCATATAACATCATAATTGGGCATATAACATCATAATCAAGCATCTAACATCAAAATATAGCATAGCATCAAATATTGAATCTGATTGAACAAATCAGAAAATATAGCATAATAATTTCATTTTTTGATTTTCAGCTTTGAGGAGAAAGAAGGAAGAAAAACAAAAGGACTAATGTATTCGATGGGAAGAAGGAACAAACTGAAAATATACCTGCTGTCGGTAATGACTTCAGTAGCGTTGTCGGAGGAAGAAGATGGGCTGCAGCGGAGGAAGGTGACCGTCGTTGTTGGGGTCACCGACGGTGTCTTCAGTGGCGGTGTTGCTAGGAGGAGAGAAGAGAACACGATGCAAGGCAAGAAGAGCGGAAGGGAAGAAAAGAAAAGATGCAGTCGAATCGTTTATGGCAAATAGAAATGCGCACTGGTTTTTAATTTTCAGACTTTATTTGTCATCTGAAAAATAAGAGGCATTTTTAGTTTTAAGAGGTAAAAATTAATACACAAACAAACGCTCTGAATCTTATAATTTTAAGATATTGCTTCTTAATTTTGCAATTAAGAGGTAAACAAATGGCCCATAACTCTATCATTCCCTTTGACTTTTTTGTTTAGTTTTAATGAGCGTTATTTTATACTCGATTCAAATCAAAATTAATGGGCAAATATCTTATGATCTTTACTTTTTTCAAATTATATATAAAAATAGTTAGTTAGCTAGTGACCGGTATATCATTAAAAAAATTCATTTTGGAAGATGTTATTATATGTATCTTTCTCATTAAAATAAATTATATATATATATATATATATATATATATATATATATATATATATATATATATATATATATATATATATATATATATATATATCCCTCTCACTAAAATAAATTATGAAATCATAAAGGTACATATATACTGTTACACTAATAAAATGATATACAAAACAATTTGGAGATATGTAAGAATTTCTCATTTTTTTTAATTCTATAACTAACATGTCGTCATGGTTGATATGTTTGGGTTCGAAAAATGATAATCACTTAATAACCATTATCTTTGGTCACTGAGTCGACCACGTCGTGACCAATGACATTTAATCCAGGGACCATTATTTGTACTCATTAATACATGTTATGATATTCATAAAAAATATTTTATTTTTATTTTATGGTTTTAATGAACTGTGTGTTGTGTGTCATGTGAGACCGTCAGATATTTGGTCACTAAATTTGTGTGTTGTGTGTCATGTGATGACCGTCAGATATTTGGTCACTAAATTTGTAGTCACGATTTAATAAATAAGGAGTGAATGTAAACTAAAATCTTATAGCTAGGGCAGATAGAGTTAGACCGCGGTGAAAAAATATCGCTAATGATTGACCATTGACTTTTTATGTTAGCTTGAGACCGATTGATGTGGCCGTTTTAATTAACGGTGCATTTTATCTTTTTATTTAAAATATATATATATATATATATATATATATATATATATATATATATATATATATATATATATATATATATATATTTGCACTTGCAGCAACTATCATGATCTCTGTAACATGTATAATCCTCACAGGTTTATTAAGGAGTTCTGAAACAGCACACGCCAATAATTAATTAAGTGCATGGGAACAAAACCATAGCTGGAAAACCACCTCGTGGATTCTCATCGTCGCTCCACGTAACCCCTTCTGGAAAATATGGTGCGTATAGTCTAGAATATGCAAAGCTGATAGAATCCCATACTTTCCACTCCATGCTCCTTAGTTTTTCTGATATATAGAAAACAATCACGTTAGACGTTCTTGTTTCTTTTTCATCGAGATCTGAAAAGTGCTTCATTTAATCTTAATTAGCTCTCACATGGATATCCATATTTCGCATTTTCCCAAGATGCGCTAAACTGTGTCATCTCACAGGCATCCTCCACCTGGTTCTGATTCAAATCAAAGAAATAGTGGGTTGCCACGTCTCACCGAGAAATTGCAAGGGGATGAAAACCGAGAGATAGCAATGGCTCCACGTCTGTTGTCCCACATTTTGATGCACCTAAATTATTTTCCATTCAAGTGCATGATATGCGGAGTGCTTTCATTCCATCATTATGGGGCTTTTAACTTCGTATAAATTCCAAAGAGTAAGGCTGGTAGTTGGTATCACTAAAAATTGTATTTCCCCTCTTCAAAAAGATTACTACCAAACAATCAAATGGGGTTTTCTCCAAAACCATCATCCAGGAAAGTTATCCGATCCATTACTTTGCCATGCAGATCACATCCATGCACCTACAGAATCGACAAAGTGCTGAATAAAGTCAAAACATGGGAGTCCACATCATCGTTATCGAATCCATCTGCAGAAATCATTTGCAGCGGTGTGTTTCAACTGACGGAGTTGTATGAATGTTTGGATGAACTTGTCAAAACATGTCCTTCCAAAACTTCGTTAGATTCCAGCAATCAGAACATGAGATGGACGGATGAGTTACTTGATGTATCTGTTATTTTCTTGGATATTTTCAGCAATATATCTGATCTCATGTTGCAGACAAAACAACATGTGAGGGATCTTGGGTGTGATCTAAGGAGAAATGGTGGTCCCAGCATCGACAGCATCATTGACAATAACACTGCCTTCAGAAAGAAACTGAGAAAAGACATTAGAACGTCTGTGGCTAGTCTGAATCAATTGGATGACATGATTGGCCACTATCCCTTGGTAGATTTTGAAAACAACCATCTGATATCGGTGATCCGAGTGTTCAGAGAAGTTAAAGCATTCACCGCTGTTATCGTACAAACGTTGTTGAAATTCTTGGCTATTCCATTTTCGAAGACAAGATCGAGAAGCAGATGGACATCAGTCACAAGATATATATCCAAAAGTAAAGTGGTACCAGAAGAAAAAGCTGACACTAATATAAATGAGTTTCAACACTTTGATGCTGCACTATTCAGATACAGGACAAGTAACAAACTAGAATTCACCCAAACCGTTCGAAAGAGACTAGAGGAATTTGAGGCTACTGTCGACCGCATCAACTCTCAGTTGGAATTAATGTCGAGGAACCTGATTACAACCAGATCCTCTCTTCTTAACTTCATCTCTTTCTACTAGTCAAAATACTAATAACTTGTCATGTAAATCTTATACATTTTTTGAGCATAGAGTAAATATTGTTATCTTGATACACCCTATGAGCATTTTTTGAGCCAAGCTTGTGCTTTGGTGTTGAATCAACTCATCCTTGAAGATTTTATATATTTCAGAATATTCTTTTTCTTTTTCTTTCTCACTTGGTGCTATTTTCAAAACCATTTCTAAAAATGGTGGTTTTTGAAACTCCACCCCTCCACCACAGGGGCGGCTCCACCAGTTTGGGGCTTTAAGCAAACCAAAATTTTGAGACCCTTTGAGTTCTTGACGTCGAGAAAACTCAAATTTGTTCTGCATTGGCAACGTCCAACCAAAATCATTCCAAAATCCAAGTTGACACAGTGAATATTAAAAAAAAAAAAAATTAAGCCCTATTGACCCTAATAGATAGTGTAATCAAGAAAGGAGAATCAGTCAAGACTACATCAATATTCAAAACACAGATTTATTCCTTCTTTTCTGCATAATATAAAAAACAAATTTTACATCAAAATTAATAGATTTAAATTCATCAAAATAGCAAAACTTAGCATAATATATATATATATATATATATATATATATATATATATATATATATATATATATATATATATATATATATATATATATACAAAACGTCACTCAAAAAATTGCAAGGGGTTCGATCTCTCTCGCTACTCTTACTTAAAGTAGGGTGTTCCGGTTTTATTATTTTTTTGATTGGTTTTGCTGTGAGGGCTTTATTCGCTAGTGGGGCCGAAATCTATATGATGAGTCTGTCGGGTGGGGGAATAATCCCTTCCAATTCTGGTTCCTCCTGGACGGAGGATTCGTTCGAGATCAAAGTGTTGATGGAGCCCTCGCCCGAACCGGAAATGGAAGGCACATCGGCTCGTTCTGCGATCCCAAGGGTGGATGAAGCGGGGCCGCCCCCCCTTACCCACAATTGTAGCTTGGAATCGTCGATGCGAAATCGCATTGCACGACTCGAGGGGGACGGTAGCTCCTATCTGCTGGATAAGGAAAAGGGAGAATATTGGTCCGACATCAAACTCGCGCTGGGGCAAGCTCCCTCCCAGCAAGAGTATCAAAGATTACTCGAGTTTGAGAACAGGGATCTACAGATCTGAGAACTCAAACATGAGTGTCTACGACTTTTTCAAAAAGTCTTAACCCAGAATCCTACCTTGGCCGCCCAGGCCCCTTACAACCCCCAAGAAGCGTTTAACGACTTCTTGGGCCAACATCGCGACCGACTGGACCGGAGGGAATTGGAAGTGGACGTGGGAGAAAGGGACCAAGAAGAAATCAAGTTTTTAGATCTCTTGAGACAAAAGGCTCAAAAAAGATGGCCCTGCCTATGTCACATACATCTTTAAATAACTCATTTTGGGATTCTAGTGTTTTAGCGGAAACGCGATCGGATGTAGTCATTTTAGTTTTGCTTTGATTGTGCTTGACAAACCGAGTGACTTATGTAGTTATTTTAGTTTTGCTTTGATTGTGCATGACGAACCGAGTGAACAAAGTCACGATTAGAAGAAATGGTAGTTCGTTGGGATTGTCTTCATTTCCCAGAGGTGCTGGTTCGACTCCAGCTCGTGACAAGGCCTTTTTGGTCATCTATTCATGAATAGCTCTTCTCTCTTGCTCTTCTATCGGTTCTACTACGGTTCCACTAAGTTCTTCCATTTCTTAAGTATTTATAGCCCAAGGCTCTTAAAGCCCACATGCCTATAGCAATTCGATACTATCTATACCCGAAGTTAAAAAAGAAAGCGCTATTTATGGCAAACCGTGGATCGGTAGACGGAAGAGAAGCTTGAAGTGCTGCTGAAGAAGAGAGTCAGGCTTTTTCAACGCCTTTAGCTACCTTTGGTATTCCTCCACGCCTACTTTCTCTATTAGAACTGCTCTCAAAGCAACCATTGCGGGCGCTGCACCGTGGACATGGGGCCTTATGGGCTTCCGCCTACCCTATAATATAAACTGGGTCATGGCTTCTGCGACGAGCTTGGGCAAAGCTTTTGCCTAGGGGCTTCAGAGCTCCTTACTATAGGCGACTCAGGGAAAGTCTTGCTTTATTCAATTCAAAAAAATCATCCTCTGCTATTATCGCTTAATAGGTCAGATCGATCGAATGGAATGAATGGGCTCTTCGCTTTGCCCTAAAATCAGAAAATATAATCTCACATATTGTAGAAAATATATACTCGCTTTTTCCTAAAATCAAAAAATACAATCTAAAAAATGACATGAATCATACAAAACTTTAACACATACTTACAAACACAAAAAAATCTGACAGGGATAGGGAAAATGCTCATATACAAAGTACAAACAATCAAATTCAAAGACAAACACAAACAATATTACAGGAAGAATCCTGAATTCGCCAAGGAAAGAGACAGAGTTATAGATTATCAACCTTTCATAAAGAAGAATCAACAATGGAGCTAACTTTTTTTTTGAACAATAATCGATTAAATCATCAGAGCCAATAAGAGGAAGATTCGAATCAAAAATTAAAATCAAACAGGTAAACGGTAGTGGTAATCGTTTCTACAGTTCTAAGGACCGGTGAGAATGAAGAATGAACTCGGAGGACAGAGATTCAGAGAAAAAAGAATAGTCGCCGAGAATTACTTCTACTGATTGCACTAATGGAGAAGCTGAATCGCTAATCCCTAATTGAAATTTCGGTTAAGTATGGCCCCTTAGAATAGTGGGCCCTAAGAAAGGGGTTAATTTCTCTCTATATAAGGTGGGGCCTGCTTCACCACCGATTATATTTTGATAATATAGCCTCGCAATCTTCATAATATATTTTTTAAAATATTTTTTATACAATCAATTTCTATCTTATATATTTGTCATGTACATTGTCATTTACCTTAAATACATAGATAAACATCACTATAAATTAAAAATAAATAAATAAATAAACAAATTATGTTACATGACAAAAGCATAGAAAGGATATTTGAAAGAATACAACTAAGTCTAAGATACATGATACATAGATCATTTAACCTGAGGGACTAACAGTGGCATGTGGCTAAAGTTATATGGTTAGTGTGTGAAAAGCAAATACGGTTGAAATCTAATAATTAGGTAGAGAAAATCAGATTTCTATGAGATTGTATAAACTTCAAACCCAAATTGTATCATTCCATAAGAAATTGAACAAGAAAGTATGTATGTGCAAACAATTCAAATTAATATATATATATATATATATATATATATATATATATATATATATATATATATATATATATATATATATATCCGGTAAGAAATTTTTTTTGGTAGGAAGGTAAGAAGTTTTTTTTCTACATAGTTTTTTGACGAACAGAAAAAAATGAATCACTAGATGATTCATTTGTAAGATGATTCACAAGAAAAAATTCTCAAAAAAACATCTTTATGATTCATTTTTAAGTAAATTAAGAAAAAATTCACTTTTATGACAATTTTAGTGAATAACAACAAAATCATTATATAGATGAATAATCTAGATGTCTTTTGAGAATTTTTTCTTTTAAATCATCTTACAAATGAATCATCTAATGATTCATTTTGTTTGTTTGTGAAAAAAATATGTAGAAAAAAAAACTTCTTACCTTCCTACCAAAAATTTTCTTCTTATTTGATCTTGACTCTCTCTCTCTCTCTCTCTATATATATATATATATATATATATATATATATATATATATATATATATATATATATATATATATATATATATATATAATTTATATATATACAAGTACTTGCTAGATGTAGAGGCTCCAGTCCTTTGTGTTGTATATGCTTTCTTTGTTTTTGAAATACTGGGAATTGTGGTAGTTAAGAAGGGTTTAGGCTGAAAGCAAACAACAAGTTTATACATTAAAAATCATATGCTTGTTGAATTTTTATACTAAAATGTATTTTAATTTATGTTTTTTTGCAATGCAGGTTTTGTTTTTTCTTGATAGAAAACGAATAATGAAATTGGATTCCTTCCAACCTCCACGAGAAACTGTGAAATCCATTAAACATGGGAATTTGAAGAATTTCATTTTTTTTGGGATCCTAACCTGTAGCACCCGGTTCCTGGAACGCATTTTATCCGTGTAATTATCACATCTTGGGTCTTGAAGGGTCCTCACGGCATAAAGGTGCCAATTTTATGGCCATGAGAGCCCCATGCACCTTGTGGACCTCATTTTTGGGTCTTTTGAGCTTAAAGACCCATGCATGGACATCAAGTTTTTAACTTTACGTGAAAAAGGGGCCTAAGAGGCTAGATCTATAGTTTTGATGTGTTAAGACCCATTATAATCAGTTGTATAGTGGTGGACAAAGAGGGACTCGACAAGTCTCTTCGGTGACTTGGCGAGTCGGGACGCTTTTTCCCCAAAAATCGTGTTTTAGAAATGGTTTGGTTGAGTGGAAGGAACACTCAGCCTGTTAAGGACTTTTTTCGACCTGGGAATCATGGGACTCGACGAGTACTAGAACAAACTCGATGAGTCCAAAGCAAACTCCCAACTTTTGAAGATGGGCACGACGAGTTGTTCTTACAACTCAGCAAGTCATAGACTGGACACATTCATATGCTGAAGATGAACTCGACGAGTTCAAGGAAGAAATTGGCAAGTCGGATGAAGAATTAACTGAAGTGTTGTTGAAGGTGAAGTCTTCGAGCTCTTGCTAGACTCGATGAGTGGGGACGGGTTTGTAGTATTCTGTGGACGAAGGGATTCGACGAGTTGGCGGACCAACTCGGCGAGTCTGGTCGACCAAATGATGACTTAACCAGGGTTTTACTTTGACCTTGCCTTTGAGATGGATTCAAGTAGACCCTTGTAGGTGTTGCGAGTACAAGTTGATAACTTAGAAGGGTTGTTGTGTAGGGATTGAGGAGTCGAGGAAGGCCGACTTTCATACCAAGGATAGTGCAAACACTACACGACTTGGAGGTGAGTTTCCTTCTAGTAGGGGTGGGTCTACGGCCACAATGATGACCCGCCAGCAAGGGCGTTGTATAGAAGGCTGTCTTTATGATAATCATCTAGGATTGATGTGCAATATGATTACTATGCTTGATATGATCATTATATTTGATATGCTTGTTATGATTGATATGTATTAGTAACAAAAAGGGTGGAATAGTCCCCATATACCGGTTGAAGGAAACCGAAAGGGAGGGTAGCTCCCGGTTACCGGTTGAAAGATACCGAATGGGAGGGTAGTTCCCATTTACAGGTTGACAGATACCGAATGGGAGGGTAGCTCCCAGATACCGGGTGAAAGATACCGAAGGGGAGGGTAGTTCCTAGTTACCGGTTGAAAGATACCGATGATTATGCATTATATGGTATGGGTATGATGGGGAGCTCACTTAGCTTTGTGCTTACAGTTTCAGGTACCTCTTCGTCTAAGGGGAAGGAGCCGGCGGTGTAGGAACGCATTACACACATACACACTCATATGGATTCCGCATGGAGATTTCTAGGATTGTACTCTGATTTTTATTACTTTTGATGATATTGTTTTCATACATGTTGTTATGATTTTTATAAATTGATATGACATTGGAAATGTTTGGTAAACTATGTTATAAATCTCGCAATTAAAAATGAAATTTTTGGCCTTGAAAATTGGGATGTTACAAGTTGGTATCAGAGCCTTGGTTTGAGGGATTCGGACACACCCCTGGGGGTGTCTGAACTCAAACCAAAGTCTTGAATGGTTTTTACAAGGAGATAGTTCTTCTAAAATCTAAATTAAATAGTTTTCAGAAAGAATGAAGTGTGTGATGCATGCGACCAGCCGAGCTCAAGTAAATTTTCCCCAAGATACCCATACTTGTTATGTTATATGATATGGTTATGTGAATTGCATGCTAGATTAGGGCTAAGGATCTAGGAAGATGCCTTGTATGCCTGTTATGTGTCTATAAGAACTGCATGCTAGAATAGGGATAAGGATCTAGAAAGGATGCCTTGTATGCCTGCTATAGGAGCTCATTGAGCCGTATATTAGAGCTTTTAGTTAACAATGAGATAACCTGATTAGGTTATGCTTGATTTGGTACTCAATGCACGAATGCTGCTTTCTTTGTACTATAAGGGTT